TACACTCAATTTGCCAGCAAATTTGGAAAACTCAACAGTGGCCACAGGATTGGAAAAGGTCAGTTTACATTCCAATTCCAAAGAAAGGCAATGCCAAAGAATGTTCAAACTATCGCACCATTGCACTCATTTCACATGCTAGTAAAGTTATGCTTAAAATCCTACAAGCTAGACTCCAGCAGTATGTGGATCGAGAACTACCAGAAGTACAGGCAGGATTTCGAAGAGGCAGAGGAACTAGAGATCAAATTGCCAACATACGCTGGATCATGGAGAAAGCTAGGGAGTTCCAGAAAAACATCTACTTCTGCTTCATTGACTATGCAAAAGCCTTTGATTGTGTGGATCACAACAAATTGTGGCAAGTTCTTAAAGAGATGGGAGTACCAGACCATCTCATTTGTCTCTTGAGAAACCTATATGCGGGTCAAGAAGCAACAGTGAGAACCGAACACGGAACCACTGATTGGTTCAAAATTGGAAAAGGAGTCCGGCAAGGCTGTATACTGTCGCCCTGCCTATTTAACTTATATGCAGAGCACATCATGAGAAAGGCAGGGCTAGATGAATCAAAAGTTGGAATTAAGATTGCCGGGAGAAATATCAACAACCTAAGATATGCAGATGATACCACTCTAATGGCAGAAAGTGAAGAGGAACTAAAGAGCCTCTTGATGCGGGTGAAGAAGGAGAGTGCAAAAGTTGGCTTGAAACTCAACATTAAGAAAACCAAAATCATGGCATCCGGCCCTCTCAATTCTTGGCAAATAGATGGGGAAGAAATGGAGGTAGTGACAGATTTTATTTTTCTGGGCTCCAAGATCACCTCAGATGGGGACTGCAGCCAAGAAATTAAAAGACGCTTGCTCCTGGGGAGGAAAGCTATGGCAAATCTAGACAGCATACTAAAAAGCAGAGACATCACCCTGCCAACAAAAGTGCGTATAGTCCAGGCCATGGTTTTCCCAGTTGCAATGTATGGCTGTGAAAGTTGGACCATAAGAAAGGCTGAGCGCAAAAGAATTGAGGCCTTTGAACTATGGTGCTGGAGAAGACTCCTGCGAGTCCCTTGGACTGCAAGGGAGTTCAAACCGGTCAGTCCTAGAAGAGATCAACCCCGACTGCTCTTTAGAAGGCCAGATCCTGAAGTTGAAACTCAAGTACTTTGGCCACCTAATGAGAAGGAAGGACTCACTGGAGAAGGCCTAATGCTGGGAAAGATTGAGGGCAATAGAAGAAGGGGACGACAGAGAATGAGATGGCTGGATGGAGTCACTGAAGCAGTAGGTGTGAAATTAAATGGACTCCAGAAGATGGTAGAGGACAGGAAGACCTGGAGGAACGTTGTCCATGGGGTCGCGATGAGTCGGACACGACTTCGCAATTAACAACAACAAAATGTTATTACCTAATGCAGTGGTTCTCAACCTGTGGGTCGGGATCCCATTTGGGGTCGAACGACCATTCAAACATGCAGTCCGCCATTTTTTCCCCCTTTTCCTTAGCGTGCTACTCCCTTTTATTCTATTGGCTTTTGAAAGCCAATAGAATAGACTCTCTTGAATAGAGTCTAATTCTATTGGCTTTCAAAAGCCAATAGGAATTGTCCAGGCTGTCTCTGCCCTGCTGAGCCCGCCAAAAGTCCCATTCTGCAAACGGTGCTGCACCAGCTGAGTAGTCTTCGACTTACGACCGGTTGAATAGTCCTCGACTTATGACCGGTTGGGGGTCGCGGCATTAAAAAGGTTGAGAACGGGATCGATGTTATTTTTACACGATTCAATATTATTCTATGAATTTTAATACAATAAATATGGATAAATATAAGCCACACAAACAAAATATTATTAAAAGTGAAAGGGGTCCTAACAGCAAAAAAATTAAGAACCACTGGTTTACACAGAACTAACCATGAAGTCTGCACAATATGGCGGACCAGCGTGTTTGGCAAGTTTAGGTTGTATGGACTGGAATTCTGAGAGTTGGGATGCTTTGAGTGTGGGAATGTTATTAATCAAGTAAAGGTATTTGCATACTTTGTAACCTTTGGTTGAAATTTGTTAATATGACTACTGAAATATATACATGATACTGCTTTTTAATATTGGTTTACAGGGATGCATACTCCAATGAGTAATTCATAGCAATGTACACTTTTGAAAGTTGTATAAAAAGGGATCCATTCCAAGCAAAGGTGTGTCCATTTTGGAACTTGCTTCTGGGCAACCTTTTATTTGAAAATAAAAATTTTCTTCCTTTCTACCTATCTGCCGTGGTTCATCAGGCCCTCATGCTTCCTGGGACAAGTTTTTGTGTTGTCTGCATAACAGATGCCCTCTGGAAGAAAAAGGAACCTAAATATGCAAGATATAATATTCCCATCATCCCAGTGGGATTGGGTCAATTCTCCAGTCCTATTTTCCAACATCAAAATGCACAGCTGTTATAAATTTGCCTATTTATCTATTTTAAAAGTACAATTTTCATGTGAAAATTTCATTTCATGTAAAAATTTTACATCTTCACAGGCTATGTGTTCTGAATTAGAAAAAACAATTGGTAGCCACACTTGTTGACCACAAGCAACTACATGAATCCTAAGTTTTTAAATAGGTTTACAGATTTTCACTTTCTCCAAACGTAACAGCAAAAGGAACCAATAAGTTGTTTCTTTGTGCAGTACTGTTGTGATTCTCATCTTTTGTTACCTCTAGTTATAATTTCTGCTTCCTCCCAGATCAAGGTTTTTTTGTAAGGGAGGTAGACACTGGATCACAGAGTAACCAGCTATATTGTGATTCCAGCAACTGTTAATTATCTCAACCTGCACTGAGTACCGTAATACTATATGTTATGTCCTGGGCCGGCAGGCATAGGCTGCAGTGATTGGCCCGGGCAGACTATGTGGATGCCCGGGACAAGAAAGGCTGCTTCCAGCCTTTGCAATGATTGGCCAGCAAGGTATTGTGCAGGGGGGGCTATAAAAGGGGGCCGCACCATTTTAAAACCTGTTCTGTTGGTGTGCAATAAAGGAGACTGTTGGGACTCATTGCTTCATCTCAGTGCCTCTTTTCCTGAAACAGAACACTATAGGTTATCTAATCAGTACTTAGAAAAGCTGGTTTCCATGGGAAGCAGAAATAATTACAGATCAGCCCATTCAGTCTAAAAAAGGAGAGGATGAAAGCAAGAAAACAAGCAAGCAAAAACCATTTTTAAAAGACCAGAGTGCAATCTTGCAAATTTGTGTTTTAAAATGAGAGCCCTACTGACTTCAGTAGGTCTTATTCTGGAGTTACAAATTGATAGTAAGGGCAAAAGTAGCCTTTTTTTTTTATAAACTCTGTCTACATTTCATCAGATGCAAAACTGACATGGCACAATAACTCAGGGTTTGAAATCCATTTTGAAATCCATCAAGTTCTTGTTTGCTCAAGAAAATAACACTTTTGATAACTGTTTCACATACTGACACTAGCAAGGAGTTTCTAAAACAAGGAATGTATTAACCTGAAGCAAGATTTTTAACAAAGAAGGATCTTCCAGAAGTAGATAGTGCTACTGTAGGACCAAAAAAAAAAAAAAATCTTTTAGGACTTTCACAGTGTATGTATTACAGAATGTCAATTACAAGAAATATCCGAGCATCAGGTGCAAACAATTGTCAATGCATGCCAAACAACAACGAGCAGTCAAGACTAAGAAATGTTCAATGTATGTAAAAAATATAAGTCAACATTACTGGAGGAAGAAGCCACCAATTTATTAATAAAATTCCATTCTATAACCCTTTAATGTAGCTTAGAATGATTGAACACTTCTATATTTTAACCCGTTTGTCACTATTTTGCGTGTGTCTGTTTAAATTTATCTTTTGTTTTCCTCTTTTTAAACAAACCTTTCCATCTGGCGAGAGTGATCTTTCTCTCAAAGGAGTGTGTGATTTTCTTTGTCAAAAAATCGCGAAGGGATGTGCTATAGAGGTTATTTAATTTTTGTCATCTTTGCCCTTATTATAGAATCATTGGTGGGAAGAAAACTTGGAGATCATCTAGATCAGGGATAGGCAACCTTGGCTCTTTTATGACTCGTAGACTTCAACTCCCAGAATTCCTGAGCCAGCCATGCTGAGGAGAAATGGAGAGGTTTCCAAGCTGAGCCATGCTGGCTCAGGAATTCCAGAAGTTGAAGTCCACAACTCATAAAAGAGCCAAGGTTGCCTACCCCTGATCTAGATTCTAAAACAAAGATGGAGAACTATGCTCCTTTTATGACTTATGGCTCAGGAATTCTGGGAGTTGAAGTCCACAAGTCATAAAAGATCCATAGTTTCCT